GGTACTGGGGGAATTGACTAGGAAGAGACAAAAGAGAACTTTTTGGGATGATGGAAATTTTTCTATATCTTAACTGTGGTGGTGTTTATATGGGTGTATTCATTTCTTAAAACTCTTTGAAATGTGTAGTTAAAAGAGGAACATTATATTTAGGTAAGTTATCCATCATGAGCATCTTTCACAAAATCAGACTACCCAGGCTTCAGAAGTTGGTGAGTGCAAATGTGAATTATTTAGAGCAAAATGCCCAATCTTAGTGACTGAGTATTCCATTTGTTTGGTGACCTGGAATGTGATGTTTCTTATTCTCCCCATAAATCCTTTCTAAATAGTCCCTCTAGCAGTCCCTGAATGGGATAAGGAAGTCATTGTCATATAACCAGAGCTGCAGCTTGCAATCCTGGAGTCCTTCTGCTCTGGTCACCTCCATCTAACTCTTCTTCCATTCTATTGATGTCTCTTGCTCTACTGGCTATGAGCCATTGACAGTCTCCTCTGAACCACTGACCTCTAGCTTTCTTCTGCCTTTGAACTGGCAAGAACATACCCTCCACTTTTCATGATGAGCTTTTACAGGAGAGAGCCCTGCAGAGTTCTAGGGCCTCTAATGACACAGTTTGTGGACATGAAAGAGGCTGAGATGTGAGATTACCAGATACAGCCTCAAACTATTTCAGCAGTCCACGTCCCCTCTGATATCCTAAACTTGTTGTTCTGACTGGCCTAATCAGCGCCACCTTCCTTACACCAGGCGCTTTCTCATGATCGTCTTCTGGTTTCTTTCAGTTCTGAACTTCAGGAAATCTAAATTCATTAACAGTCAGTGTGTGTATGAACTATTTGGGGGTGTATTTACGTTCTTTTCCACAGGCCTCAAGCAAATAAGGAGATATGGCTGGGTGTCGATTTTGATTCCCCCAATATTATTCTGTGACAGTTAGAAGTTAGGTCACTGGAGAGCATACAAAGAAAAGTCCATCAAGGGGCAGTGTTGCCTATAATTGCCCAATCCTCTAACATTGTAAAATCCCACTCAGCCAAAAAGTTACCATCATGCTCGTAATTCCAAATTGATCCCTCTCTTGAAACATCCTATTCCACCCATCCCCAGTCCCTAAGCTCAAACTTCCATTCCCTTAAGGTCATCCATTTCAAGTAGGGTTAATGTAATGGATGGCATTAAAATAATTCACACTGAAACATAAACATTTACAAATCTTTGCACTTAAGTGATGTAATGTGAGCGAGAGTTGCTTTTCATTTGGATTAGAGGTGGGGTAAAGGAGAGTTTCCTGGTGGCTCTTGCCTCTTTAGGGTATTCATATTCCTTTTGCATGGAACTCACTTCAAAAAACAGGCAGTCAGCAACTTGTTCCCTTTCTTAAGATTGTTAAAACTAATAAAAATTGTTCAAGGAGCCTAGCATTCCATTCTGTTCTTAAATATCAGCTCATACCACCAACTTCCCATCAGTTACCAAGATCTTTCTTTTCTGTCTTCAGAAGTTTTCTCTTCTCCATCCCCAGTGCACAAATCATCAGTCACCTGGATATTGAAATGACCTTTTCTAATTGAGCTGCTTGTCTCCAGGCTCTCACTCCCTTTCCAGCCCATCTAGCATATTGGTGATCTGAGTAATCTTTCTAAAACACAAGCGTAACTTTCTTAGGTTTAAGCCCTACCCCACCAAACCCTCAAGCAATGGTGCCCCATAATTTGCAAGGCAACTTCTAACCTCCTTAGCAGGGCATCCCAGCCCCTTCACAATATAGTTCTTGTCTGCTTGTCCAGACTCATTTCCTGGTGCTGCCCCGACCTATAGTTTAGCAATACCAAAGTTTTTACATTTCCTTGAATTGACCATACTATTTCAGTGCTCTGCTTCATTCTGCTTAGAGTGCCGTCTCTTCCATTATGCATCATAATCCTGAGCATTCTCCTATACACAACTAAATAATCACCTCACCTGTAAAGCTTTTACTGATATCCGTGCTGCATTAACTGTATCCTACTTTCACTACTACCTTTTATTATACTTACGTTATTGTTTCTAAACCTCAGTTTCCTCAGCTGTAAAACTCAGATAATAACAGTATATACTTCATAGGATTATTATGAGAAATAAAAGGGATGATATAGGCAAAACTTCTAATATAGTGCCTGACACATAGTAATCATGCATAATATGCACAATTATCATTAGTATTATAATAATAAATCATTTTTTATATTCTTTTTATTATTTTATTTTATGTGTCAGTCTATACTACTAGACTGTGAACTTCTTTAGTGTGGAGGCCATGTCTCTATCTAGCTCTGTATGACCAAGGCTAGGCACACTGCCTGGCATACATTGGGTTCTTGCTAAATGGCTATTGAATGACAGACTATATAAGGAAAGCCTCACTATTTTTCTGGTATTAAATGTAACTTTTTATCCTTAATGGAAAGCAAATTAAATTTTATATATGAGATCTCTCCTGATTTTATTTATAACTTCCTGCTCAAAGAAAACTTTCTTGAATTCAAAGATAACAATCAAACATTAGTGTTTTTTTCCCACCAAAAACTAAGTGAATCTAATTCTTTAGTAGACCCGTTCTTCCTTCATCCACTTTCCATCTGTGACAAAGTAGATAATTTTTGTTTAGTCTTTTAAATCTTATATATCTTAGAGTTGAAATTGTATGTTTGGTTTTTAATAGTCCATGCTAAAATGTAAGAGCTGGGTTTCCTAATTCTGATATGTTATGATTTCTCTACTCTCAGAAACGTATTTCTATTGTTACACCTTGAAAGAATTAATGTTAACTTTTGAGAAGGATATAAACTGGTCAGTAGAAGTGTCAATAATTACAAGCTTCCAGAAGTATTTGTCAACTTATAGCCATATTCTGTATATTCATGTTTTTTATTAAATGTAGCAAATTATGTTTTAAACCCAATGAGATGCTTCAATGGGGAATAGGATGAAATTCAGCCCTTAGCCCTGGTTTAGGGAAATTTTCCCAAAAGAAACTGCATACTTCTAATGGGACATTCTAGAAGTTCTATATACATATCTAAAGCAAAGTGGTGAAAGCTGGTTTGCTTTGGACAACCCATATGCAAGGAAAACCAGTCTGTGGATGGGTGGGGTGGATTAGCAGGACAGGTGGTGATAAAGCTTCTCTCTACAGGCAAGTAGGCTTGACATTTCATGAGAAAAATACGTTCAGAACAGGAACTTCAAACCATGGCTAAAAATATGAACGGCAGTTTTGACCCCTTTGGAAGATGACCCTCACAGGGCTAGCAGACGTTCAGGGCTCCAGACAGCTGAACTGGAGTGTAGGCAGGGAAAGTGGGCCAGGTCCTCAGTCTTACAGATGGAATCGCCACTGTAGGGTATGCAGCATTTCATGGGTATTTGTGGACTTACTGAGGCATGCTTTACGTAGACCAGCAAGAAAGGTTCCAGCATTGTTCTTGTTTTGGCTCTGGAACTGGTTGGGATTTGGCCTACAGACAAAGTGATTTGATACATGCAGCTTAATCAGGCAGGACTGAACACTATTTGCCGTTCCACAAAGAACCTTGGGATGCTAAAAGGCCACTTCATCAACTCCAGGTCAAAGGCCACTGTTTGAGTGAATATTAAACAAGTAGAGAGTAAAATATTCTTCTGCTCTTCCTTTCTTCACCCATCTGCAAACTCATTAACTGTACCTTAGTCATTTGATTATAGCTCAAGCCAGAAAAGATGTATTGCTGTATCCTAGGGCAGTTGACTGCCTTGGAATTGGAACTATAACCTACATGTTATGAAGCCCCAGTGTGCTCTTTTTTTTCCATAGTCACCATCTCTCAGGAGTGTTTGTGCAAGTTCCTGTCCAAAATTCATCTCTGATAAAGAAGGGAGAGAAAACTAATATTTGTTTTCCTTGGTCAGTTTTAGTGCTAAACCAAATTACTTATTATATTTATTCTAAATCAACATTATGTTAAGTATTTTATAATTATTTCCATCTACACAGAATAAATTGAGAATCAGAGAAGTTAGGTAAATTGCCTGAAGCCACACAATCAGCATCATACTAGACAGAGCATGCAATTTATATCTATCTTTCTCTAATACGCTTCTCTTGCAGCTACATAGTGCTGACTCTCAGAAGCATTTGTGATCCTATTTATCCTAAACTAAAGACAGGCGTAAAGAAAGAAACCTAACTGTCCTTTACCAGATGCTGAAGAATATCTATTTCTTGGGGTTAGACTACAAACCTGGGGTCAATAAACTGAGAAGAAATTATTTTTAGCAAACTAGTATGAAGGAGCTTACAAAGAAAGAGACTAAATTCAGTAGGGGCAACAGAAAGTTCCATCCCTTTGTCTTTCTCATTCTCTACCTGGATTCAGTCTGCATCCTGACTGAAACTTAAATACGCAGTGGGAAAACTTCATAGACAACTGGTAAGAGGGTAAAATGCTGAACGAAGGTGATTTTAACCTAATAGGATGATTAGTGGTCCTAAAATCAAGAAAAGACCTGGAGTCCTTGCGTGAAGCAGTGAGCTCATAACAGTGGGAAGTTTCCTGGAACTGGAAAGGATGCTATAGATTTTCTCCTAACCCACCATCAACACCACCAACAAAAAATGTGAGAAGAGCACTGAATGGGAAGTGAGAAAAGGAAAAGAGATACCTTACAAATTCCCAATTCTGTAGCCTTTCTATACCACGGGAGCCCTGTTAACCAACATCTTCCAATGTTTCATAAGAACGAACAAATTCCCAGGAAACAACGTGAAAGATATAAGTTCTATTAACTACGTAATTACTGAGCCTAAGAGCAATAATCTTTCAAGTCAACTCAGAATTCACAGCTTACACTAAAGAGTTGTAAGGAATGGAGAGAATAACTGTACAGAATTCAATTCATCAGCTATTTACTGTACACTTCTTCCATGTTGAATGAGTTAGAGGTCCAGCATCTGGGGATATGTGAATACATGTGTCTATTACAAAGAAGAAGAGACTGTCCCCCTGTTGAAGAGTTTCTGCAAGGCCCCCTTCATGTCCCTGTTCCTTAGGCTATAAATGAAAGGGTTTAGCAAGGGAGTGCCCACTGTGTACATTACAGAAGCAATTATGTCCTTGTCATTGGAGTTGTTGGATGAGGGGAACAAATACAGTCCAATAATTGTTCCATAATACCGAGCTACAACAGTCAGGTGGGAGCCACAGGTGGACAAGGCTTTGCAGATCCCCTTGGTAGATGGAACCTTCAGGACTGTGGCCCCTATGCAGCCATAAGAGATGAGGATGCATATTAATGGGAGAGTAATGACTGCAACTCCAACTGTGAAAATGACCACTCTATTGAGGAAGGTGTCTGAGCAGGACAGCTTGAGCAGGGCAGCAAGGTCACAGGAGAAGGGGGGGATGGTGTTGTCAGCACAGAAGGACAAACAGGCCAGGAGGATGGTGTGAGACAGGGCACTGGCACAGGAAAAGATCCAGGAAACAGCTACTAGTAGTATACACAGCCCCTCCCTCATGATGGTGGTAGAGTGGAGCGGGTGACAGATGGCCACGTACCGATCATATGCCATTGAGGTGAGGAGGAAATTGTCCAGGTCTGTAAAAAAAAATGAAAAAATACATCTGTTCTATACACCCTGCATAGGAGATAAATTGATCCCCAGAATTCATGTTCATCAGCATCTTTGGGACAGTGACAGATGAAAGGGAGATGTCACTGAGGGCCAAGTGGCTGAGGAAGAAGTACATGGGAGTGTGGAGGCAAGATTCTAGCCTGATGAGGAGGATGATGAGCAGGTTCCCACACCATGGTGAGGTACGTGCCCAGGAACATGGCAAAGAACATGCGCTGCTGCTGCAGCTGGATGGAGAGCCCCAGAAGGAGGAAATCGGACATGCTGCTCTGCTTCTCCCACCTCATGATGTTCTTCTCCTTGCTAGGGTTGAAGAATAGTTGAGAATGTTAGGAACTCTGAAATAATCATTTTAGTAGTTATATTAAAAAGATACATGTTCAATTTCAGAAAGTGGGAAACTTAGTCTGTTTCTCATATTTTCCTTATATGCTAGTACATAAGGGAATTAGTAAAATTGATGAGGCAAATGTTAACAAAAGCCAACATTTCTTGGTTAACTGACTGACAAAATAGAAGTCTTACATCTGCAGCACTGAGGACTAGACCGTGGAAAATGATGTCTCATCCAAGATATTGCCCCAAGAAGGCTCTTTGGTGAGTATTCCTAATCATCACCCATGGCACAGTAACAGTTGGAAGATTCAACTTCAACACCCATTGTTAAAGTTCAGAGGTGAGGCAAACTTTTCGAATAAAAGGATGCAAACAATAGTATTGTATTTCTCAAAGAACACTCATCAATATGCATAAATTTTTATCTGTTTTCAAATCAGTAGAGGATGGCTAAGAATCTCTGAATTGCATCAATTGATTCTCCCTATTGCAGCCAAAAAAAAAATCTTTTTTAAAGCCTAAATTTCAACATGATTTCCCCTGCTTAAAAACCCTCAAAGGGTTCCCACTGATCTTAAGATAAACAGTAACAAACCTAATATGGCTTAAAGGTCCTGCAAAATCTGTGCCTCTCCTAGGTTTCCAACTCCTTTTCCCCCAGTCTTACCACTCTCACCCTCGCTGCCTTCTCTATTCTGGTTTCCATGGAAAGGCACATTTCCATTTGATGTAATGTTCTAAGCCACTGAGTTTGTAGTAATTTGTTACAGCACCGATAAGAAACTAATACATGAGAATTGAAAAGATTTCAGGTATAATCAAATACTGTAGTTATCTGGGTACCACTATGCACCAAATACACATGTCCTTCCCCACTTCCACTTTGCACACAACAAAACAAGGAACAACTAACAGAGCTAATTTCTATGTAACAAGTAGGGAAATTAGGTTACTATTTCATTAGAAGCATTTGTCACTAATCATAGAAGAGGCTGTAAACCACTCCTTCTCCTACAAAGTCTCAAGACCTACCTCTCTATGGGTAAGAAAATTGAAGTGTTAGAGAGGATTCTTATTCATCAAAAAGTCTTCTAGCAAAGATCCAAAATTCAGCAGAAGACAAGTCAATGGCAGGTTTTAAATTTTCTGGTTTTTAATCTAACTGCATACACCTCCTACCAGTTCCTCAAAGGCATCGTCGGCCTAACATATGTATTGAGACTGGTCAATAAACACAGTGTTTTAAAAGTGCTAAACTCAAACTTCTTCCTTTTCCTAGTGATACTCAGGGAGTGAGGCATTCCCAACTCTCTCTCTTCAGAGGCAGTGTGAGACTATAGGGAAAAAGGCAAAGGTCTTGGCATGAGATAGGCTTGGCTCACAATCATAGCTTGATTATGGCAGTTTTGTCCCATAGCAGGTTTCTTAACCTTTGTAAATTTCAGAAAGCTGACGATCTTTAAACAACGAGTAATTATACTCATTAGGGTTATTGTAAAGAAGAAATGAGGTGACATATGCAGAGTCCCTAGTACCTTTTCTTGTGTATAGACTAGTGCCAATAAATGTTGATTCCTCTCCTGCCACATTTAAAGACAAAATACAACTCTATCCAGAGAGGGAGCAGAGGAATTTACATTCTTTTACATCCAGAAGAAAATGAGTCATATCAGTTTCTTTGCTGGACTCTAGGTTTTGATATCTTGGATAAGGTATTGAATTGGGATTAGAAATTGCTGGCGAACATCAGGTTGGCAAACCAGAAGCAACAAAATAGGGAACATGTAAACACAGAGAAAAAAATCCATCATTCTACCAAGAGAATAATCGTTCAGGCAGACTTGAGACAAATGGGTACTCTTTACTATGGAAGTTAACTGAATAGACAATTCAGGAGAGATGCTTGTTCTCACAGAAATAGCTTATATTCTGACACCCAGAAGCTGAAGACCATTTAGGGAAGAGCTAGATGATTTACCAGGTAGCCAAGTGCCAGCCCATCCACAGCCAACCAGAACTCCAAGCCAAAGTCCAGAGGGTAACTGGCAGTGGCCTTTAGGAATAATAAAGTTCTTTCATGAGCATGGGATCAAGGTGTATACTCAGCAAAATGTAAAGAAGTGACTTTTTTTACATTGATCCCAACCTCTTACATCTTTCTCCCTTCATTGATCCCTCTTCGCTCCACCCTTCTCAACTTCCCGTGTCCTCATATTGCTTCAGAGGTAGGAGTAACTCTGAAGAATTCCCACACACTCAGATATTAGGAGCTAAATAGGTGACATTTGGGGAGACACTTGTCCTTAGAAAGCATATGCATTCGTTCAGCAACTGGGCTCTTGAAACTTACCATGAATACAGCACTGTGGTAGAGTGTTGTCCTACTGAACAGAGAGGAATAACACTTATTATCAAAGGAAAAAGTGCCTAATGTTGGCTTTTGGGGCGTTTTTGTAGTCAGTGGGAGTGTGGGGGACTTCCTGAAACCCCTGGTTTAAACACCTGAAAGGCTTTGGAATGCTTGAATTCTGTACTGTTCAAATCTGATTTTCTAAGTTAGGATCCATGGCAAGAGTAGATTCCTGCTGAGAGACTCTGCTTCCCTGTATCTCTGTCTCTATCTCTTGGTCCACTTATCACTATTTCTTCCTCTTTCTCTCTTCTTATCTATTGCTTCACATTGTCTTTCTTTTATTTTCTCCTTCCTTCCCTCTCAGTCCTCACTCTCTGCCTCTGCATCTCCGTTCTTCTGTCACAATATCTTTCTTTTCTCTCTCTTTCTCTATTTTCTTTAAATTTTCTCTCTCTTCTCCCCATGCCAAACTCTGTATCTGGTTCTTCCTCTTCTATATGCATATATAAACTCATGTGTTGCTGAGAAAAAGTACTCATTCCATCCCAGTACTGACCTTGCCTGCATTTCTGATGCAGTGTTTTGGTGGGTAAATGTGTCCTGAGGTTCTGTTTAAAGGACGTAAAGACTGGCTTCCAAAGTCCTAGACATTTGTGGGGCATCAAGAAGAAATGCTACAAGCTCGGACTCTCATTTCTGTTTACCAACTCCAGTTTTATGAATAGAATAGTATAACTAGCCAGGGAGAGAACCTTAGGGGGTAGGGACCAGAACTTGTAATTTCCAGTTTAAGAAGCCCATTAAACTTGGATTAATTGTCCAATTTTCCCCTTAATTCCTCTAGGAAAGGCATCCTATGGAAGATAAGTTTGTGCTGGAAACTTAGAGGATGAGTACTCTGAGAAAGGGTTTCAAGGCATGCTCAGTCTCCGTCCTAGCCTAGGCTCTGCTTTCCCAGGCTTCATCACACTCTGACATGGGATAAGTTCCAAAGAGGTTAAAAAAACAAAAAATACTGGCTTCAGTAGGTTCAAATAGAAATCTAAATGACTGGCCAGCCTCTAGGAATTTAGTTAAAACCACAGTCCACTCGAAGGGATCTTTTGGGCCCTACCCACAAGGTAACCCAATGAAAGTGACTGTGTTTCTTCTCTCTGGTAATCACTATGAAATGTAAAGTGAGAAGAAGCAGGGATAATCAATCTTTTTTGGATGCTTTATTGCTTTCTTGAAAAATTTAGGTTTGTTTACTTCAAAGAAATATCGAATCCTCTTGTAAAAAAATTTTTAAAAAATTAGCCTGGCTACCATCTTGAAGAATCGGTAATAGGACATGAGTGGATCTGAATGGTGCAAGAAGTAAATGTAGCAGACTCTATCAATTTCCCTTGCATAACTCTTTTTCTTAGCACATCAGTGTAGTCTGACCAGAACTTCAACTACCAGTATTTTCATTTCCTTCTCTGAGGGCTTCCTATGACCACTGGAGCCCAGTTTTCCCACACATGCAGCAGGCTTGACGTGCTAGAGAATTGACACTTTCACCATCCCATCCCCAGAATCCAATCAGATAAATACAGACAGGAGTTGGTACACATATACACCAGCTTACTCATTCCTATGGTGGAAAAAATCTGAGATGTGTTGGATTCTAGTTTTCACAGTTGGATTAGCTACAGTTACCTGCATAGTTATTTTATTGATATAGACATTTCACTGACAGCCTTCACTTCCTGCCTTACTTTCCCACTCTCCTACTACTATTTCCTTCAATCCTCAGATAAACTACTTGTATTCAATTTTTGTCTCAAGTTTGGTGTCTTGGTCATCTAGTGCTGCTATAACAGAAAACCATAAGTGGATGGCTTTTAAAAAAGAGAAATTTATTTTCTCACAGTCTAGTAGGCTACAAGTCCAAATTCAAGGCATCGGGTCCACCGGAAGGCTTTCTCTGTAGCCTCTGGAGGAAGGTCCTTGTCATCAGTCTTCCCTTATTCTGGGAGCACCTCAGCGCAGGAACCTCAGGTCCAAAGGACAAGCTCTACTCCCAGAACTGTTTTCTTGGTCATATGATCTTCCCATGTGTTTCCTCTCGCTTCTCTCTTTTATATCTTAAAAGAGATTGGCTTAAGAAACTATCTAATCTTGTAGACCTCATCAATATAACTGCTGCTAATCTATCTTATTACATCATAGTGATAGAATTTACAACACACAGGTAAATCACATCAAATGACAAAATGGTAAACAATCATACAATACCAGGAATCATGACCTAGCCAGGTTGACAGATATTTTGGGAGGACACTGTTCAATCCATGACATTCCACCGTTTGGCCCCCCAAAATTCATGTCCTTGCCACATGTAAAACATATTCACCCTGTCATATCATAGCAAAAGTCTTAAATCAATTCCAAGTCCAAAACCCAAAAATTCCTCTTCATCCTTGAAATCTGGAATACAGGTTATCTGCTTCCAAAGTACAATGGCAGAACAGGCACAAGCTAGACATTTCCATTACAAATGGGAGAAACTGGAGGGAAAGAAGGGATAACCGGCACCAAGCAAGTCAGCAGAACACATTACATTAGCTCTCAAGGCTTGAAAATAATCCTCTGTTCTCTGAGACCACACAATGGCCCTGCTCTC